CAACTTGTACCCGACCTTGTCTTCCAATTGACATTGCCTTGTGAGTCTATTACAAAAAAACATATTAAATTCAATTAATTTTTTAAAAATCTAACATTTTATTCTTTTAACTTGTGTCTATTTAATGCTGGTGAGTTTGAAACTTTCTCTAATTATTATAGCTAGTCACTTATGAATTGTCTTTCTATTAATGTCCTTTGTCCACTTTCTACCATTATTAGCAATGTTTCAATGCTTTATAGACATTTTAATATTAAGGACATTAAAACTATCAAATTCATTGATTTAAAAAAATTTTTTTTTACATCTTTATTGGAGTGTAATTGCTTTACAATGTTGTGTTAGTTTCTGCTTTATAACAAAGTGAATCAGCTATACGTATACATATACCCCCATATCCCCTCCCTCTTGCGTCTCCCTCCCACCCTCCCTATCCCACCCCTCTAGGTGGACACAAAGCACTGAGTTGATCTCCCTGTGTCATGCAGCTGCTTCCCACTAGCTATCTATTTTACATTTGGTAGTGTATATATGTCAATGCTACTCTCTCACTTCGTCCCAGCTTACCCTTCCCTGCCCCTCCAGTGTCCTCAAATCCATTCTCTACGTCTGCGTCTTTATTCCTATCCTGCCCCTAGGTTCATCAGAACCTTTTTTTTTTTTAGATTCCATATATATGTGTTAGCATATGGTATTTGTTTTTCTCTTTCTGATTTACTTCACTCTGTATGACAGACTCTAGGTCCATCCACCTCACTACAAAGAACTCAATTTCATTTCTTTTTATGGCTGAGTAATATTCCATTGTATATATGTGCCACATCTTCTTTATCCATTTTCACTGATGTTTCTTTCTGTGTGTTTTGATATATGTAGTTTGTCTTCATTTGCATAAAATAATTTTATTTCTTTGTAACCACCGCTTCATTTAAACTTTGTGTCCATTTCAGTAGCTGATAAATATTGGTGGGTTTCCTTAAAATCAAATCTCATCCCCTACCGTTACATATTCATACTGCAAAAACAAAAATTCATCACAGCATTATTTCTAATGACTGAAAAAGGGAAATTAAATATTTAATAAATTGAACAAATTTGAGCACACCTAGTCAATTAATATTGTGAAGCCATCAAAAATATTAATTATGCGGTGACACAGGGAAAATGTTGTAGACGTACGTTAAGTGAAAAAGCAGGTTCTACGACTATATATACTGTATGATTTCAGTTTTATAAAGTTTAAAAATATGTGTAAAAAGACAAAAGAATATTCACCAAAATCTCAGCATTAGTTATCTCTAGGTAGAAGGATTACAGGTTTTTATTTTTTCCCCTGCACTCTTTAATACTTTCTAAATTTAATCAATATTACTTTCATAAGCAGAAAAAGATTTTAAAAAATGCACTCTCTGACCCAGTAATTTTACTTCTATTATTCTTTATGAAGGAAATAATCCAAAACACAGGGTAAAAATTCATAAGAACTGAACACAAACACACTCAGTATTCCCATCCCTGCAAACATATCCAGAGAAGGGGGAAATTTCATGAATATGGTCATTCAAACTTATCTACTCAGTTAAAAATAATATGTAAATAATTTCAGTAGGGAAATGGTTAAGTATATTAGAAAATAATTTGAATGAATTTTATGCAGCTACTAAAATAATTGTGATTAGAACATAGGAAATATGTATTAAAAACTTTGAGTAAAAAGAATGTTTACTATGATCAACACTATGTAAAACACTGTATATCTTTACATAAATACTGGAAGAGGGAAATTTATGTTGGATGATGGGATTATGGGTAATATTTTACATTTTATTCAAGGATCTTATAATTATGTCCTTATAAATAAAATTCAGAGGAGGGGGTAGAATATATTGTGTGTGCATGTGTGTGTGGGTGTTTGTGTATGTGTGTGTTTGTGTGTGTGTATACACCCACACACACTTATCTCTCTCTATCCTTAATGATAAATAGTAACTTCCACAAAACAGGCACTCAAATGGCACTCAAGCTTATTTCAAAGGATGCCATAGTTCTAGTCTTATCTAAAAGTTAGAATTTCAAATCTATTCCTTAATTAGCTAAGACCAATTACAAAAAAACTTACCATTTCAGTGATGAACTCTATGACAAGGTCTTCAAGAATATCTACTGACTCAGTATAAGGATTCTGGTCGTCCCCAAACCCATACATCATACACCGTACTGTAAAAAGAACAATCATTTTTGTTTAAACAAACTTGACCAATACTTTTTCAAATTAGAACTAAGCTATAGAAGATATCGGTATGAAAGTATATTTACATTGTATTTCTTGTCTCCAAGTATGGATTTTGGTGTAAAAGGTATTAACCACTAGCACATAACCAACTGTTCTTACCTAGCCTTCCCTAGGTAGGAACTCCCCTTCCCTCCCAGCTACTGAACCCTGATATCAATATTCCTTCCCTAATCTCTATTATCTACTCACCAACAACCCCAGAATACCTTTAAGTAGGAAACTTCATAGCAGGAACAGGATGAGTAGCAATGGTTTAGCCTTTACTGGGAGTGTTTTCGGGGGTGAGGGGGAGGTCTTGGAAAAAAGAAGGCAAAATCCTTTCTGATACTACCATAAGGAAGAGGACATGAGAGAAAGTGCTCCAATTACCTTCTTATAGGAAGAACAGGTTAATCAAAAGGAGAAAGCAAAGGGCTTACTATACAGAATCTTGACATTTTATTCCCTGGATCAAAGCAACTGCCAGCAAAGCCCTTTCAGTCTTCATCTGAAGGAACCATAGAAAATGCAAAAGAGAAGAAAAGTCTACAGAGTAATGAAAATAACTGCTAATAGCTAAAACTTATATAGCCCTTACTACATGCCAGGCACTGCTGTAAGCGCATTTAATCCTCAGGACAATCCTCTGAAGTAGAAACTACTATTATCCCCATTCTACGTAGATGAGAAAATTGAGGCATAGAGTTTAAGTGATTTACCCAAGGTCACACAGATAGTGAGATGGAACTTGAATTTGAACCCAGATGATCTGGCTCCAGAGTCTATACTCCTACCCACAACAGTATTACACTTCTTGGTAATTTAGGGCAGATGGGATCCATATGGATTCTTATGCTATAGCCTATAAACTCCCAATCAGTCCATGGACAAGTTTTGAGAAGTCCTGGAACCCTACTGAAATTATATGTAAAAATTTTATACATTATTTGTGTGTGTATTTTTCTGGGAAGAAGAATCAACTCTTAGCAGATTCTCAAAGGGGTATATAAATACTAAGAAACTCTGTCATATGTTAGAAATGTTTTGTATCTTGATCTGACTGGTGGTTACAAGTATATGTATATATGGAAAATTCATCAAGCTGTTCAATGAAGACTAGTGCAATTTATTGTATTTAAGTTTTACATTTAAAAAAAAGGAACAGGGCTTCCCTGGTGGCGCAGTGGTTGGGAGTCCGCCTGCCGATGCAGGGGACACGGGTTTGTGCCCCGGTCCGGGAAGATCCCACATGCCGTGGAGTGGCTGGGCCTGTGAGCCATGGCCGCTGAGCCTGCGCGTCCGGAGCCTGTGCTCCACAACGGGAGAGGCCACAACAGTGAGAGGCCTGCGTACCACAAAAAAAATAAATTAAATAAATAAATAAATAAGTAAATGGAACGAACTCCTAGAACACTTCTAAAAGTAGGAATGAGTACGTCAAGAATAATTTCTATTTAGGAGAAGCAAAAGCAGGCAGAACTAAGAAGACAGTAGACCAGGCCTGCGGAAGAAAAGAAACAGGTGACCTAGAAGCCAGACTAGGATAGAGAAGTGCCCCTAGGGTTTATTCTTGCAAAAGCTTTTAGGTCCAGATACAGGAGGGAGAAAACAAACACAGGAGCCAATATTTTCTCCCCTCTGTGTTTTTTGGATTCTGAAATTTTTTTTTGCTTTTTTTTTTTTTGGTTTTTTTAGATAATTTCAGACTTAGAGAAGAGTTGCAAAAACAGCACAATGTTCCCGAAACCCTATATCCAGCTTCCCCTTATGTTAACATCTTACACAACCAAAGACATTTCTCAAAACTAAGAAATTAACACTGGTACAAATACATAACTTATTCAGATTGTACCAGTTTTTCCACTAGTGTACCTTTTCTGTTTCAGGATCCCACAATATTTAGTTGTCATGCCTCCCTAGTTTCCTCTGTTCTGTGACAGTTCCTCAGACTTTCCTTGTCTTTTTTTTTTTTTAATTTATATATTTATTTATTTATTTTTGGCTGCGTTGGGTTTTCGTTGCTGCGCACGGGCTTTCTCTAGTTGTGGTGAGTGAGGGTCACTGTTTGTTGTGGTGCACAGGCTTCTCACTGCAGTGGCTTCTCTTGTTGAGGAGCACGGGCTCTAGGCGTGCGGGCTTCAGTAGTTGTGGCTCGTGGGCTCTAGAGCGCAGGCTCAGTAGTTGTGGCGCACGGGCTTAGTTGCTCTGCAGCATGTGGGTTCTTACCAAACCAGGGCTCGAACCCATGTCCCCTGCATTACCAGGTGGATTCTTAACCACTGCGCCACCAGGGAAGCCCTTCCTTGTCTTTTATAACCTTGACACTTCTGAAGAATACTGGTCAGTTATCTTGTAGAATGTCCCTCAATTTGGGTTTGTCTGATGTTTTCTCATGATTAGGTTGTGGTTATGAATTACTAGAAAGGGAATCACAGTGATGATGTACCTCTTAATGCGTCATATCAGGGGTATGTAATGTCAACATATATTACTGGTGATCTTATTAACTTTGATCACCTGGCTAAAGTAATGTCTGCCAGGATTCTCCACTGTAAACTTAATATTTTTCCTTAAATATTTTGAGGGAGATACCTTGTCATTAACATTCTGATGGGGAAAATTCATCAGTAGGGAAATATACTTCACTGGAAAAGCAAAATCATATTAGACAGGAAGTATGTGAACTGCATTTGGTTAAAGGGTCTGTAAAGACATAAACAAATAGAAGTGAATGCTTTGAAATTTTGTGTTATATTAGCAAAAATTTTTTTTAAAAAAGAAGGTCTAGGAGAACAGATCTTGGTCAGTAAGTCATAGGAAGATTCAGGTAAGACAAGGAAAAGGCTGTGAAGATTCCAAATTCTTGTCATCACTCTGGGATGCTCTGGTGTAGGAATCCCCTTCTTATGCCGACTTAGGTAAAACCACGTACAAATGGAGTAAATAACATCAGAGATGGAATAAGTAGTGGTAAACTTAAGGTGAGAAATTGAGATATAGGAAGGGATTTGAATGGCAAAAAAAAAAAACCCACATATTGACTCTGTAGTTTCAAGAGCATTTGGGAACTGCTTACATCGGAACCAGCATAAATAAATCAGGTGATGTGTCGCCTTATCAGGACTGGGATGGAGAGCACTTTCTCACAGTGCCTTAAAGAGGCTGACCTTGAACATCAGTAGTAGCAGCAGCTCTCCTTGCTGCTGCCACAAAAGGTCTACTGAGGGAACAGACTAGACAACCAAAACCTTATAATCTCTATGCCACTGGACTGCCTCACATTGTTCATCATCTTCCTGCCTTGTCCATTGCCTTAGTCCAAAGCCCCAACTTAATTCCTACCCTCAGCACCTGTTCCAGGACCCAAAAGAACCTTTGGCTTACAGTCAAAGGAGTCCCTGCTCCTACTGCTGAAAGGTAAGGGACAGGGGAGGTAACGGAGGTATGTTCTTAGGCCCTGAATTGAAACACTGATCACATCTCTTTACTTAAAAAAAAAAAAAAAAAAAAAGTATGGATGTGTGTGTATGTGTGTGTGTATACACGCATATATATAAATACATAAATTGGGGTTAGGGTTATTACTATCTGTGATTCACAGGTTAAACAGAATTTATGCACAAGTCTGAGAATATTGTCCCTACAAGGAAACACATTCAGAACAATAAATCTACTTTGAACCGACATACCCAGAAGTTTTTATCTATAAAAAATCATTGTCAAATACTACTTACATTCTTTAGAAAAAAGTCTCTTTCTTTTACCCTGTCCACCTTCTGCACCTCCTCCAATTTCTTCATTTTCCTCCTCAAACTAGAAGTTAAAATGTATATATGGATACGTCAAGCACTGCTTTTGACTTTTTAATAATTAACATTTTTTTCCATCTTCAACACTGATATCATGCCAGAAAGCCTAAATAAAGCAAGCAGCAAAAAACCATGAAACCTTAGCATTTTAGGGGCCTTACAACTATCCTATCCAACTTCAGACTCACACAGGAATGGCTTCTACAATGTCCACAACAACTGTACTGCCTCTCCTGGAGCAGTTCCAACGACCATACATTCTTTTTTTTAACCAACAAAGTTGGCCTATTTCTAGACAGTTTTACTATTAAAAGAGTTGATATTGAATAAAAGTAAGCAAAACTAGTATTTACTAAGCACTGCTTACACAGTACTAAGAACTTTCCTCAAGTAAGACTTAAGCCTATTTTATGACATGAAAACCGAGGCTCAAAGTTAAATAACTTTGCTCACAGAGAACAAATACTAGCTTTGTCCTCTGATGATTCTCTAGGTGTTTCAAAGGGTGTCTGGCAAATATGGACCAAAAGCAAAGGGCAGGGGACCACCCTCCTACTCTTCCTGCCCCGCGTCCTACGACTAATCGGAAGAAAAAGCCTAGCACGGGGTGAAGTCCCCGATTCTCTCGGCTGAATTCACTAAGGAAAACAAACCCGATTCTCGGCCTCCGCTACGGTGCCCGAGGGAGTGAATAAAAAAGTGGGCTGGAACAGAGGCGGTCACTCACCGCAGGGTCTTCTTCTTCATCTGCCATCCCAGCAGCCAGCCACCTCCAGGGCGCGCCCGCCTCCCATGGAGCGGGTTTTACTACTTCCGCGGCCTCACTTCCGGTGACGCGAGGAGGTGGGGCAGGGCCTAGCTGGAAACCCGCCTGCGGAAGTGGAGCGCGCGCGCGTCCCGCCCAGCGGTGAAACCACAGCAGTACTAAAGGAGGGAAGGGTGACGTCTTGGCAAGAAGGAATTAAAAATTAGCAACGAAAAGGAAATCACTGGCTAGGTGCCGTGTATCTCGCTGTCTCCTTGAACTTGCTTCTGCGTATCAGATCACCGCTTCCTTATTCGGGACTGCGAAGCTTTGGATCATTGAGGGGCTAGCCAGGGGTGTAAACAATTTCAACAACTTAGAGTACCACTATGATTTATTGCCAAGCTTATTCGTTATTGGGGATATTGTACTTCGCTACCAGTTCTCAAGGGAATGTGATCTCCCCTTAGACTGAGGATTTAATTTTTGTGGTTTTGTTTGTTGTTTTTTTAATCAGAACAGTGCTTGGGAAAACCAGGGACATTAGAAGGCTAAAGCTAGGGATATAAGGTGTTCTGCAATGCAAGAGATGATGTCACCAGGGAAAGATTGTTCCACAATACACTATTTCTGAATGTCCTGCTAAACATTCCTGTGAGTGAAAAATCTGTTCATAATTAGCTGGGCCTAGAACATAACTTTGTTAACATATAAACACAAAGCATTTTCCTATGCTTTTAAGGTACATTGAATTTTCTAGGAACGCAACTGTGAGATAGTAGAAAGTATATGTATTGGTTTCTGCTCACCCACCCCACCCCTCTTCCTGGCACAGAGCTCCTAAAACCCTTGTAGTTTGCTAAGTGATAAGAACACTAGGGCATCTTTTGTTCTAATGAGGCAACTCTGGGTGGGCTCCTGGCTGGCTCCTGGCTGGGTCACCAGAAAAACCAAGCCATGATTAGAAGCTTGGAATTTTCAGCCCTCTCCAGAGCGGGGAGAGGAACTAGAAATGGAGTTAGTAATTAATCATGCCTATACAAGGCATAACAATTGCCTTGTATTGCCTACTAATTCCAATAGTAGGAGGTTCAGAGAGCGTTCAGGTTGGGGGGCACATCCGCTTACCTGGAGGGTGATGCACCCCCAACTTCATGGAGGCAGAAGCTCTGTGCTCAGGATCCTCTCAGACCTTGCCCTATGTGTCTCTTCATCTGTATCCTTTACCATACCCTTTAATAAACTGGTAAACGTGTCCCCCTGCGTTTTGTGAGTTGTTCTAGGAAATAACCAAATCCAAGGGGGAGGAGGTCATGGAAACCTCTGAATTTTAGCCAAGTCAGACAGAAGTTGTGGGTAACCTGGGGACCTACTACTTTCGATTGGCATCTAAAGTTGGGAGCAGTCTTGCGGGACTGAGCCTTTGATCAGTGGGATCTAACACTATCTCCAGGTAAATAGCGTCAGTATTGAGTTAAATTGCAGGACACCCAGTTGGTGTCACAGAATTGTTTGGTGTGGAGGGGGGAGGGGGGACCCACATATTTGGTCATGAGAAGTGTCATAAGTGAAGCGTTCAGTGTAAAAGTAAAGGAGAAAGATACACGGGAAGGAAAAAGCTGAGAGTTTTCCCCCAAACAGTCACTACCCTGAAATTGGAGAGAGATAGCTCTTTGTTTTATTTGCAACTTATCAAGAGCTGTGAAACATTTCAGGAAACAATGTCATGAAAGGCTGTATCAGTTGTAATAGTTTGGATAGCCAAAACTCACTGGAATCAGTCTGCATTTTAGCTCCTGCATTCATGGTGCAAGCATATATATATGCTTGCATATACATATAGGTGCAAGCATCTGAAATCATTATACCTGCTAGTGTAGTCATACCTGAGCATTTACATATTGAAACACATATTATTATAATTTACTGTCTTTATTTTACTTTACATTATAGTTAGGACATTATATTTTATAGTTACGTGGGTAGTTAGGTTAGTTATTATTACTGTGAAACAAATTATCCCAAAACTTAGTGGTTTAAAACAATGAACATTTATCACACAGTTTCTGTGAGGAATCTGGGCACAGTTTAGCTGGATGCCTCTGGCTCAAGGTCCCTTATGTTGCAGTCAGGGTGTTGGTTGGGCCTCAGTCTGATCTGAAGTATTGATGGGGAAGGATCTGCTTCCAAAATCACTCACGTTATTGTCAGCAGAATTCAGCTACTTCAGGTTACATTAAGGGCCTCAGTTCTTCACTGTCTATTGTCAGAGGCCTCCCTCCATTCCTTGCCATGTCAACTTCCTAGGGCAGCTGGCTTCTCTCAGAGCAGGAGAGGGAGAGAACCAGGAAGAACACCCAAGAACACAGTTTTTTTGGTAACCTAACCTTGGAAGTGACATCCCATCATTTTTGCCCTATGCTATTCACTAGAAATCAATAAATGCAGCCCACCCTCAAGAGGAGGGGATTACAGAAGGATGAGAATACCAGGAGGCAGACATCATTGGGGGCTATCTGAGAGGCTGCCTACCATAGTAGGTTATATTATTTGTGAATTTCATTTCAGAATAATAAAGGAGACATATTTGTTATTTAAGGAGGTTTGTTGGGTCTGAAAGGGTTGAGAACTGCTATGTTAGGTAGTAATGAAACACTGGTCTTATCCAGGGAATCAGGTATAAAATATTCACAGTGTCCATTAGCAGGGGAATGGATAGGTAAAACGTGCTGGATGTACACCAAGGTGTACTATACAACAATCACAAGCAATAGACTAGCAACATGGATAGAGCTTAGCAACAGAGCGCTAAATTTAAAAAGTAAGAAATATGAGATCTGTAACAAAAGACCGTTTATGTATATTAAACACATAGACACACAAAAAATACATATTTTACAGGAACATATAAAAAAGGCATAGACATCAAATACATTAGGAAAGTTACAGGGTAGGAGACATAAGAATAGGGATAAAGAGAATGCATAAGATACATAACAG